CCTCTATTTTGACCCAAAAATCCAAATTTGAAGAAAATTGCCGACCCGAAGGTATACTGTAACCTTAAAGGAATCACAGTAGTCAGCACCGATTGTAAGCTCAGTCAACATGCAATTTTTAGATGGAACTCAAAAATCGCTTAAGTGCTCCTTTGCTATATGCAAAAATTCGGTGAGGGTTTGGGCTTGGGATGAGATTGCGAAAAAAACTGAAGCTATTTGGGTCGGCTCCAAGAAAGAGTCAAACCCGATTATGTGCTCTTAAATCTTAAATGGGCGAATGGCAAGGTTAAGGCTTTAGGTTTTTGGTTCTGCACTGATTGTGAAAAAAGTAAGAAGAACAAATTATTACGAAGAGAAGGTTCATAAGGTAGAGGATATCTTGAATAATGGGAGAAACAAGAGATTGACCTTAATCGGTAAAATCGCAGTTATTATGGCACTAGCTGCATCACAACTTGTTTATGTTCTGTCATCAACAACGTCGTGCCCAAAATGGCTGAAAGAATTAAACAAACGATCGCCTTTTTTAAATTCCTTTGGGATAGCAAGGGCGACCAAATTAAGCCGACTCAAACGTTAGCAGATTACCAAGATGGAGGCCAAAAGATGCTAGACATAATATAATTTAATAAAGCCTTGAAAATCTCATGGATACTTAAGTATATTTCTAACGACTGCAAATCTAAATGGAAGTGCTTTTTTCAATTTTCATTATCTAAGATGGGCCGAAATTAGTTTTTCTTGGTTATTTGGTACTGAAGAGGCAGAGGGCCGACTTCTAATACATCCAGCAAATTTAATAACTTTCTTAAGTAAGAAGATAAATTCCTAGAAATAAACATAAAATGAATTACTACAAAATAACTGACCGAAGAGAGCAGAAAACTAAAAGGAAATACAAAACAGACGATGAACTAAAACGGCTTCCCAAATGCTGGAAAGGCGAGGTTCAGGGAACCAAAAAATGTTACAAGGGTAACGGACGATAAACTGACACGAATGAACATGGAAAGATAACACGAATATATACGGGACGAAATTTACGTACGAAACGAAACATAAAAGCGTGCAGAATTTGGGAAACGGCATTAACATGCAGAACAGAAAAACGCAAAGGAAAAAGAAATAGCCGCAACATGCAGGTGCCAAAAGATGTCCGAAAACTTGATATAAAGATGTTTTCATCCGAGAACCTACTGAGCTGTGGACGGACTTAAATTATAGGGATTCCCTTGTCTCTTCAGCTAATTTCAGTGCTGATCATATTTGGAGTAACTCGATTGCCAGAATTGCAGCCAAGGCTATCTTTTATAAATAATGGGCTAATGCATTGGGGATGAAAATTAACGATCTGATGACAAGTGATTTAAAATTAATAACTTACAGTTGTTTCAAAGATAAGTTATTTTTTTCCAGTTTCGTTCCTCGAATTCCATGGAGTAACTTCAGCCATTAGGAGTGCTATAACTACGGCTATTAGGATTGCTATGAGATCTTTGGAATTGACATTACCGGGTAAAAAATATCCAGAACTCTTCCAACAAACCAAGCTCCTGTACAGAACTCGTCCAACAAACCAAGTCAGTCAGCTTACAAAATCTCGTCGACAAAACGTGTACTCGTTCAGCAAAAAAAGAGCAAAAACAAAAGAAATGGAGAAGAGAACGTCAATTTATCTACTACCTTAGGATATGTACATTAAGTACGAAACTAAGGAACTTCCAGTTCGAATTTCTCCACAGGAAAATCGCTACAAAATTATTAAACTTTCAAGTACAATTAAACTTTCGGAATCAGATCTCTGTTGCTTTTGGCAAAGAGCACAAGAAACGTTGCTTTATCTTTTCTGGGAATGCCCGATCAAGGAAGCCTTTTGGAATAGTTTTAAACAATTTTTTCGTCTCGGCTGATTTACTACCAGCCTCACAAGTTTTAACCATATGCCAAAGTTTAGATCTCAAAGGAGAAAAAAGCGCCTCTTTATTAAATCATTGTTTACTACTTGTTAGATGTTACATCTGGTCCTCTTCGTACAAAAATGTTCGACCATCCTCGATAGAATACGCTCATCAGGTTAGATGCAATTTAATAACAGAAAAACACGTTTCATTTGTTACACGAACAAAAAACGTATTTTAACAGAAAGTTCACTAAAAAACTCCACTCATTATAACTCCCTTAACTCTCCTGTGAACTATTTTTTTTAACTATTTTTTTAAACTATTTTTCTTGAATAATATTAAGTTTCTCCTTTTCAAAAAATCAGCTTCAATTTAGTATTTCGTGGCCCTATATATTTCGCTTTCTTTCGGCCTTTTCTTCTTCTTCTTTTTTTTTTTGTTGTATATTTACTTTTGCCATTTCTTAGAATAATATAGTAGTGGCAGTAATAGTATTGCATCTGTTAGTTGTATTATTTTTAGTTTTCTCCTTATTTTTAGTATTACTGTTAGTTAGAATCAATTCTTGTTAAAGAAAATTATCTTACTATTTTAAATATTGTTGGTATTGTAAGCATTGCTAATTGTTATTGTAATTTGAAAGTAACGGTTCTGATGCAAGAAAGTTTAGTTTTGTACAATTGTAGATAAATTGCGATGTTTTACTTTACTAATTACTTTGAGGAGATATTAAAGCTGGCCACACTCTGTGCAAAGTAAACTTGTTTGTTTGTTTTAAATCAGAACCTTACGGTGTTCCACAAAATGTGTATGGACAGAACAGCAGCTCAACCAGCATCTTAGTCATTTGGGATAAAGTTCCAGCTGATCAACAGAATGGTATCATCACGGGTTACACCATTACTTACCAGTCACAGACAGAAAATGACAATGGAAATGTTCAAGTAAATACTTCTCATCGTCAAACGGAATTGACAAATCTAAAGGAGTTCGTCAACTACAATATCACAGTGTTTTCATCTACCGCCAAGGGAGATGGACCACCTAGTGACCCCATTGTTGTTAGAACAGATCAGGATAGTAAGTAATCTATCTTGATTTTCAAGATTTTTTTTGGTGGATGTCTAGGCAAAGATGTATCAACTGCATAAACATATACAGATCTGTCTGATATTGTAACTAATAACCTACACGATATCTTTCTGGTACACATTCCCTTTTTATGATTATTTATCATGGTAAATGCTCTCGATATACAAAAAAACTAGTGTTTAAAAGGCCAACGACAAGTAGAAAAAAAACTGAAAGGGGTGTCAGCATTTAAAAACAAGGGACTAAAGCTACATCGCATTCACTACTGAATAACTCAGCTTTTAACTTCTGTATCAGAACCTGATGGTGCTCCACAAAATGTAAGAGGAGTGAACAGCAGCTCAACAAGCATCTCCGTCATGTGGGAAGAAGTTCCAGCTAATCAACAGAATGGTATCATTACGGGTTACACAATTACTTACCACTCACAAACAGAAAATGACAATGGGAATGTTCTAGCTGGTCCTGATGATCGTCAAAGGGAATTGGCCAATCTAAAGGGGTGGGTCAACTACAATATCACAGTGTTTGCATCTACTGTCAAAGGAGATGGACCGGCCAGTGATCCTCCCACTGTTGTTAGAACAGACCAAGATAGTAAGTAGATTTCCTTATAAGTTTTCCTCTGACCGTTATGTGGGTGCTTACAGGTTTGTGCCATTTCAGTGAAAGACTAAGGAAATCTGGTCAGTAAAGGTGACTTGTGTAAGATTTGTTTTCAAGCTTCTGCCACTTAAGATGTGTGGCGGAAAAGAAACTCGGAAAAAGCTGTTATGAGGCTATGACAAGGATGAAAAGCAAAAATAATCAGGATTCTTTAGCATGCTACTGAGGCCCAACCCATCGGCTTCAATATAACTTTGTTTATAACTTGTATATTAGAACCTGATGGTGCTCCACAAAATGTACAAGGACAGAACAGCAGCTCAACCAGCATCTTAGTCGCGTGGGATGAGGTTCCAGCTGATCAACAGAATGGTATCATCACGGGTTACACCATTACCTACCACTCACAAACAGAGAATGACAATGGCGCTGTTCAAGTAAATGGCTCTGTTCGTCAAACGGAATTGACAAATCTAAAGGAGTACGTCAACTACAATATAACATTCTTTGCATCTACTGTGAAAGGAGAGGGACCAGCCAGTGTTCCTATTGTTGTTAGAACAGACCAGGATAGTAAGTATTTTTTTTCTAAGCATTATTTTTGGGTGTTTTTTTCAGTAATTTTATACTTCAATTTATTTCAAGAACTTCAATCGATAGAGGTGTCTTTTAAAAGCAAACATTTGTTTAGTTATAGGTAAAGAAGAAATCATGCTAAATTAATTGATACCAAAACAATCAGCACTGGAGGGTTTGTAACATATTTGAGGGATATCCCTCCGAGAAAAGAGATGATGCAATTTCATTTCCTATTCTTCCTATGTTTGTGAAGACCAATTGACGCAATAACGCGAACTCCAACTGGTCTGACCTGGCAGTAAAAATCATCTTCAAATTTCTTACGGTGTATAGATTTTACCCTGATACGTTCCATAACTAGCCTTTGGGAGTACACGGTACTTAAGCCCTGTCCCATTCGTTTGCAATGTAAATCTGTTTTTAACTTCTGCGTCAGAACCCAATGNAAATGGAATTGACGAATCTAAAGGAGTACGTCAATTACAATATCACAGTGTTTGCGTCTACAGTCAAAGGAGATGGACCACTCAGTGACCCCATAGTTGTTAGGACAGATCAGGATAGTAAGTAATCTTTCTTGATTATCTAGCTTTTTTGGTGGATGTCGAGGCAAAGATGTATAAACTGCATAAACATATACAAATTCTATCTGATATTGTAGCTAATAACCTTCACGCTATCTTTCTGCTAAGTTTTCCCTTTTCATTATTATTAATCGTGGTAAATGCTGTCGATCTACAATAAAACTAGTGTTGAAAAGGCTAGCGACAAAAAGAAAAAATAAATAAAAAGGGTGTCAGCATTTTCTAACAGGGTAATGAGGCCACATCGCATTTCCTACTATATAACTTAGCTTTTAACTTCTGTATCAGAACCTGACGGTGCTCCTCAAAATGTGCGAGGACTGAACAGCAGCTCAACCAGCATCTTAGTCACGTGGGATAAAGTTTCAGCTGATCAACAGAATGGTATCATCACGGGTTACACCATTACTTACCACTCACAAACAGAGAATGACAATGGAACTGTTCAAGTAAATGGCTCTGTTCATCAAACGAAATTGACAAATCTAAAGGAGCACGTCAACTACAATATCACAGTGTTTGCATCTACTGTGAAAGGAGAGGGACCAGCCAGTGTTCCTATTGTTGTTAAAACAGACCAGGATGGTAAGTAATTTTTCTAAGCATTATTTTTGAGTGGCTGCTTCAGTAATTTTTATACTTCGATTTATTTCGAGACCTTCAATCGATAGAGGTGTCCTTGGAAAACAAACATTTGTGTGTTTAGAGCTGAAAAAGGCATCATGCTAAGTTAATTGATACCAAAATACTCAACACTTGAGGACCGTGACATATTTGAGGGATATCTCTCTGAGGAAAGAGGTGATGCAATTTCATTTCCTCTTCTTCCTATGTTTGTTAAGACCACTTGACACAATAACGCGAACTCCAGTGATTTCCCTCTCAGGTACAACTGGTCTGACCTGGCAGTGAAAATCATCTTCAAATTTCTTACGGTATATAGATTTTACCCTGATACGTTCTATAACTAGCCTCTGGGAGTAAAAGGTACTAAGGCCATATCTTATTCGTTGCAATGTAAATCTGTTTTTAACCTCTGCGTCAGAACCTAATGGTGCTCCACAAAA